TTCCTTGAAATGGCTCCTCATTTTATCCTCACGAGACTGAGTGGACCCGTTTCGAGACCTGCTAATTCTCAGAAAATCTTGGAACGCCGGAAATCGAACCCGGGACCTCTGGATCTGTAGGCAGGAAATCTAACCACTAGACCACAGAGGGGGTCAATTGCCTGTATCTTGAAGTGAATAATAATAATCTGGAAGGCACAGAAGCAACCTGCGGGAAGTGAAACTGGTACAGGGAGGCCTAGGCCCCGAACGTGACTGACAGGGGTACATGCCGGCTTATGCTGCCATCTGACCAGCAGAGGCAGGGGTTTCCTGATGCTAGGTACAGCAGACTCGCACCTCAGACGCTTAGGCGTGGCCGGTAGGGCAATACGTATTATAGTGCACCTTAACGAGACAGAAAGTGCAGGTAGGCACTGAACTGCATCTGCGGCAATGAATGTTAGAGTCCTGTAAAATTCAGTGAATTTCTTCACCAGCTTGGCGACTGTCGGCTTCACGGTAACCCACAGATTTTAACAGATACTCTCTGTGCTTAATTAAGAGCAACGCCATGACGACGTGTAGGGGAGTAGAGGTACGGCTCCACCTCGGTACTAGACGGAGAGGACGCTCAGGTCGCTGTACAGGCCCCCACAGCCTGCGCAGGCCTGCTCACTGAGCAAGGCCCCTGACGTGCAGTCGGTAATGTAATACAGTTTGAAGTCTTGTCAAACTGACGGACCGGCCGAGGATTAGCGGCGGGGAGACCAGATAATATTGACATTAGCGATTTGACGGCTCCCTCACCCCATAAGTGGTTTTTAAGAACGCCCCCTCCCATGTTTCACTGCTGCGGGGAACCACCACGGCCCTGCTACTGAAAATTATTGACATTATTTGAGATTAAATTGGGATTGGAAAAAATGCTGCAAGGGAAGAGGGAAGAAGAAAGAGCCCTCTATTACCCCCAGGTCTGCGGCTAGAACAAACCCCCTTGGGAGAAGGGGTTGCAGTGGGTTTAAAGTATTGAGACCGAGTGAGGTTAGGGGTGTGCAGGGCTGCCAACGTCTTGAACTGCGATCTTCTCCAACTTCGCTTCTTTGTCACTGTCATACGTCATTAACCTCGGTGTTCATTTGTTGCCGACACAAATCCATTTCCCGCCAACATGACAGGCCTAAATCTTCATTCGCCAATGCTAAACCGAAAGCCAAGCGCACAGATTCCGGTGAAATTAGGGACAAAACTGCATTTTTTTTTCTTGAGACCGATATTAATCTATTCACATTACACTTTCGTTTTAAGCTTCGTTTAATGCGGGGGAGAGAGGTGTAATTTTTTTAATTCGCGTAGTGGGGGGTGGAGTCCAGCTGGGTCCACTCGACACGTCGGCCACTGATTGGCCTATTGTACCTGCCCCGGATGATTATGAAGATGGAGAATTTGGTGAAATGAAGAGTGGCAGCGGAAACCGAAATACTCGGAGAAAACCCGCCTCAGCGCCATTTTGTCCACCACAAATCCCACTTGACCAGACCTGGAATCGAACTCGGGCCGCCGCGGTGGGAACCCAACGACTAACAGCTTGAGCTATGGAGCGGCCATCAGAGAGGTGTAAGCAGCCCGGGGAGGACAGGCAGCTCAATTAGTTCAGTGACCCACCTAAGGGGGCCAGGCAGCCAGAGAACCACGGTTGGAATTCCGAAGAGTTCTAGGGTCCACCAAGCCTCCAATCCAATATGTCCTTTACAGACGCACGGATAGGAACCGAAGCGTAACCCGCTCTTTACAGCTACAGAGCTTACTGCTGACCTCACCAATACAATTTCCATTTTCTGTAGCAGTCTCAGATTCTACAACGATTTTGCACATGCGTGTTCGAAGCCCGCTTGCTACTTGCTCCGTTTATTATGCGACCCTGAAGATGCAGTCAGTAGATTCTTCCGAAAAGACAGTAAAGTTATACCAGACTTCAAGGGGTCACGCTCCACAGTAGCGGTCTTGAGAGCCCCTAGTCTCACAAAGACGCACAAAGCGGTGGCACTTGGCGCAGCGCATACATTAAGTTGCTCAGAGTGTCCGAACCTGATTGTTTGGTTTAGAATCTTATGATGTAGAACCCGAACGAGCTCAGTAGCCCCGGTTTCGCTATCAATGTAATCTTTAATTGGTGAAACTGTGAACTGAAGACAGAGTGCGCTACTGGTTTTCAAGAACGAAGAGCGCCAGGACATCGGCTCCTCCGTGGCACTGTGTGTTGGTCGGGGCAAATGAGCACAGCCTTAGTCGGGCAGCGAAGCTAGGATCTGTCCAAACGATTCGCATCTTCTTTAGTTAGGTCGTCCCACAGACGCCGGCTTACCGCCGAGGCGACCCGCCGTCGACTCCCAGCGAGTCCACGTGAGACTCGTAGAGGACAAAGTGGCTCTACTGCTGGTCTTCTCCGAGGGCTTCGGTTTTCTCTGCCAATTCTCATTCTCATTTCTGTCACCTATCTCCCGGGGCTGGTACAATGGGCCATTTAAGATCTGAAGTACCAAGGGACTCAGCCTCACCCCACCCTGCCCTAAGAATACAACACAGTACAAGACAGTAGAAGAGTGTTCAGTGAACAGACGCCGCTGTGCTGTGGAAGAGACGTCCCGTTTGAGCTGTGTCGTGTAAATGTGCATCTGAGACAGATGACGTGGCGTAGGTACTCACATAACTACGCACGCGCGAACTAGGTTACTATTAGTGAGAGATAGGCCGGACACGTAGCACGCGTTGCAAATCAAGAAACATGCGTGAAACTTGTCTGAAAACTGAAGGACGTACTTGGTAGACGTAGACAAAGATGGGAAGATAATATCGTTCAGTTTATGGATTACATAAGAAGGTGACTCTGCTTTCAACATGATTACACTCTGGTTTCTTGCTCAGCTTTGTCTTCTACCCTGAAGATTTACTTACTTACTTACTCACTCACTCATGAAGCTGAGCCCTTCTGGAGGATCTGCCAATTCTGCAGCTACTCAAGAATTTCCCAACATTTTATGGAACCTGAATGTTCATTACCGTGTTCACAAGAGCCCTCCACTGGTCCCTATCCTGAGCCAGATCAATCCAATCAATACCATCCCATCCTATCTCTTTAAGATCCATTTTAATATTGTCCACCTACCTACCTATGCCTTGGTCTTCCCAGTGATCTCTTTCTTCTGGCTTTCCCACAAATATCATATACGCATTCCTCGTCTCCCCCACTCGTGCTACATGCCCTGCCCACATTTAACCGACATATGTCGGTTGACTTTCAACTGGCAACACGGCGTTATATCCCAGGAGATAGATCTATTCTTAAGAGACGAGCTCCACGCGACTGCATTCACACTACATAACACTCAATAACACAACGCATACCACAGAACCAGTTGCAATCTGACATTCAACGAAAGCTGACAACTGAAACACAGAAAAATTCGCAAAATAAAAAGACCGAAAATGAAACACCAGTCCCAAACAGCGCAACAGCCTCATTTGAGAGACTGAAAAGAAATAAAAACTAAATCATAACCAAAACAATGTTCATAAGTCACTACTTGATACAATGACATAATTGCAACAATTAACATTAATGTGAAACAGGATATGGAATGACTAAATGTAACAACACAGAACATCTGAGTGTATTGTTATACTATAATTTTAATAATTTTAACCTTATTAACTTACTGTATATATTTTACACTATATTTATGAATATTCGCAAGTATCCAAAATTTTAATATATTTACAGATATGATAATTCTGGCATGTCGACCACACACACTTGGCGTGAATGGGATTAGTGAGAGTTACTGTGTTGTGGCCGATAAAAACATTTATTATACATTAACATAATAAGATGCACTCCTTGAAGAAGATAACACCTTTATAGTCAGAAATGCATTTGTTCTAAGACTATTGTCTTCTGGGATGTGACACAGTGCAGTCTGGTAGACAGCTATGAAAATTTCGTGGGAAACATCTTTTGCTACACCACGAAAATGGAGGCAGTATATTCCTCCGAAACATTTATCCGTTATCGATTAGGCGGCATAGCGACGGGCCACGGGCTGGACGGCCGCTAGTCGGGTTTCGATTCCTGTTAGGGGCAAATATTTTTCTCTTCGCCATGTTGCCCAGACCGGGTTTGGGTCCCAGTTAGCCTACTATCCAATGGGTACTGGGGGTTGGGACATGAAGCATGTATCCTGTGCCGAGGTTAAGAGCGCGTACAGCTTGCAATACAGCCACTCTCCCATACGACATTTCTATCTTAATGTGCTTTGTTCGTGCCCCAGATTGCCAAACTGAAGAAAGCGTTTCGCGACGCAGATCTGCTCCGTTCTCAAGTGAGGAGTCTGGGTCCGATAGAAAGAACTAGTTCCAATCACTGGACTCAACTAAGCAGGCAGTCCTTCCCTGAGAAAGGAAGCTAATGCAGCCTCCGAAGCCTCCACCGTACCACAGTACTCCGTGCGCTGGAGTACCAGGCTAATGCACCCATCTCCTGCTCTTCTGCTGTACTTGGAGAGCCACTCGCGCGCGGCGCCCACAGCGCGGTTGGGCTCGGCTCGAGTGTATGAACGTGACAAACTGTCCAACATCATCTTGCAAATTAGTAGGGACGTCAGTCGACATCTGTGTGGAGCTGGCTCAGGGGCACTCACACAAGTACGTTAGCTACACAGTGTGAGCGATAAACAGGAGTTCAGTGGTTCGAACTTAGCGAACGGGAACGGCTTGAGGACGTGTGGCTGCGAACAGCGATCAGACGGGGTAATCTAGTTGAAACTTCTGCATGCACTACGCTCCAACGAAGAGAAGGCGGGACGTTTGTTACAATTGTCTAGGTTCACTGAAGCTCCAAGTGTCCTTAAATGAATAATGGGACCGTCAATGTCGACCAGTTCTACCCGCCACTTGCCTCACCCTCTCTCCGTTGGAGGACAGTATTCTCCTGACCCAATTGTGAGCGCCGTGTCTGTCCGCAGGTATGGTTCCAGAACCGGCGGGCTAAGTGGCGGAAGGCAGAACGCCTCAAGGAAGAACAGAGGAAACGGGAGGAACAGGAGAGGGGAGGAGGAATCTCGAAGCAAGACTGCAAGGACGGGACGGCGGCGCCCAGCGTCGGGATAGACAAGGTACGGTCATTTAGTCAGACGCCGATTTAACAGATGTAATTTATTCTTTCCCTTCGGCTTGTACACTAAAAATTTACCACAGACCAAATAATAAAGAGTTTAAAGGTTAAGGAAGAAAATTCTTCCAAGGTAGGGCACATGAATTAGTCCACATTCCTAGTCACTGAATCAATCACTCAATTAATCACTGACGGAAACACTCCACAGTCGGGCAACGACCGTCATTAAGAAATCATTCACTCCGTGAGTTAATAATAATTCAGTCAACCACCAAATAATTCCATCTATCCAAGCACTGACTCAGGCAATTAAGTAATCTTTCAGTAAATGAGTCAATCGTCTGATCGATAGATCAAACATTCCACACGTCAGGCACTCACCTAGTCATTTAAGCCAGTGGTTCTCAACCTTTATGAGACCGCGGCCCAGTAAGTTCTTTTTTTATAAGACGAGGGCCCAGTCCCAACAAATTTACCTTGGTCACTGACATTTGCTCCACAGATTAAGGTGTTCTGTGTCTGAGCTTTTCGACACAAATATTATTCTCCTCAGAATATTTCCACTATAAAATATTTATTCATGAAAAATGCTTAGAAAATGAAAATGACAAATTCCAGAAGAGCCTCTCGCGTCCCAGTATAATTGATGCCAGGGCCCACTACTGGGCCGCGGCCCGGCGGTTGAGAAGCACTGATTTAAGCAATCGTTCAGTTAGGGAGTCAGTCTTAAGCCGTGGATCCCGTGTCGTAGCTTTACGGCACGTAAAAGAACCTCATATCTCCAAAGGAGGTCACTGAGCCAAATTAACGGACGTTTCCCGCCCAACAGCAGTCTCTAATACCTCTGATAGATGGGGGAAGCATTATAGATACCTCTCAGCTAGTAGAGCCGGTCTCGCTGGCTGGGCGGGACTGATGGTAAGCACCAGTGCCGGTAGGATATAGAGACTGGTAGAAATCATAGAGGGAAGCACAGTGGACCAATACAGGTCTCAGTGCATGGGGAAACCCACCCTCTCCAATAACTAACTAACTAACTAGGGAGTCAGTCAGTAAACAATCTTTCAGTTGATTCAGTCAGTGACCCAGTCAGACAAGCAATGATTCAGCAGTCCAGTCATCAGCGTCAGTATTCAGCCAAGCAAGCATATTCAGCGAGAGAGTCACAGGAGCGAGCTCACGTATCAGGGCTGACTTGAGCGGTTGTTCTGCCGAGCGGCACCAACTTCAGAACAGTTGCATGTACCATCAGGGAGGTGGAGGGGAAAAACAAGAGCTCGGCGATATGCGAGCAGAAAAGAAATAAATAAAGAAATAAGATTAACAAAGTTTCGGAACCGGACGGGCATATTTCGTACCAAAAGACAGTTTTATCGCGTTCTGGAAGACAGAGAACAAAGGAAAAGTTCTGATATAAATTCGTATTCATTTAGGACGCGCGAACGCTTTGTCTCTGCAATATATTCAGGAAAACTGAATTTCACAAAAGTTTCTGCAGCACACACACACCCCCACACCTTCTGCGCCCCCCCCCTCGCCTGGCTGTGTTACAGCCACCCCTTAATCTGCACTTTTATCGCTCTGCAAACT